CTCACCCCCTGGCCCCCCTGCCCCCCTCATTGCCCTACAGATCGGCTCTGGCCCGCCTTCCGCTGTCTGGCTCATCCCCACAGGGTGGAGGCCCTGTGCTGGGGTCGCGGCCTATTCCTGTCCCACACCTGCCGGGCGGCCAGGTGGAGTGGGTTCAGGGGGCAAGGCCCCAGCTATTTTCAGCAGCTTCAGCTCCAAAGCCTCCGGGACCCAGAGACCTCGCCTCCCTGGCGCGTCAGGACCCGTGTCCCTGCGAGGCCTGGGGGAGACGTTTCCTGCAGATTCTCCTCCTGCAGCAGAACCGGCCCTGCTCCCCCGGCCTGCGTCTGCAGGTTCTCCCAGAGCTGGCGTTCTGGCCCAGCCCGTCTGCGTGAGGCCACACTTGGGTTGCTCAGGCGACAGCCCTAACCCCAGAATCAGTGCAACAAAGAGAGGCCACGTGTGTCCCCTCTCTGCCACCACCGGCCACTCCACGCGGGCCCAGCCGTCAGCAGGCAGGAGGAGCCGTCCCCTATCTTTTTATTGATTCAGAGAGGAAGGGAGGGGGGGAGAGAATCATGGATCGGCTGCCTCCTGCACGCCCCCTACTGGGGATCCAGCCCACAACCTGGGCCTGGGCCCGGACCAGGAATGAACCCTGGCCTCCTGGGTCATAGGTCGATGCTCCCCCACTGAGCCCCACTGGCCGGGTGGGGGCAGCTCTTGATGTCACCTGTGTCGCACGTTTCTTCACGAGGTAATGCCTCAGCGTTTCACCATTGACTGAGACAGCCCAGCAGCACGTGAAGGCGCTGGTCCCCTCGGGGCGGCCCCTCAGCCCGTCCCCAACGCCGCAGGGGCGGCTGGTGCTGGGCCCCCATCGCTCGCTCCCCCTCCCCCGCCCCGGCTCTTCCCGGCTGGGGGTTCTGTGTGATTTCAGAGCAGGTGGGGCAGGGCCTCGGCCTGTCCCTTGTCCCGTGGCCGCGAGGCACTGGCAGAACATTCTGGGCTTTGCTTGAATTCACCAGAAAGCAGCAGGGAGCGAGGTGGGCGCTGTGCAGGCCCAGGACCAACAAGTCATAACCAGCCGACCACCAGCAATGCTGCCAGCAGCCCACGAGGGGCACGCGCGGGAGCCACGGCGGAAGACGCCATCAGCCTTTCGAGTTCACGGTCCCTCCCGCAGCGTTCACGGTCACGGCCAGGCTCTGCGTTCGTCCTCCAACCTCTCGGCACACCCTGCGGCCTGTCTCCTGGTCCCCTTTCCAGGCGAGGAAGTTGGAGTCCACTGAGGTCATGGCCCGTCCAAGTGCCTGGAAGCAGAGGCTGAGCAGGAGCTGGGCGCGGGCAGGTCATCTGGCGATCAGGCCGGCGGCCAGCAGTGAGGGCGCTGGGCGTTCAGTCCTGGGTGGGGGGTGGGGGGCCTGGAAATCACCTCGCCTGCACCTCAGGACAGCCCATCAGGAGGGGGTGCTCATTCAGAGACTCGGCTCCAGCTGGTCGCGGGCCGCCCCTGGGGGTGATGACACCCACTCCTTCCGTGGGTGAGGCTGCGGCCTTCCTTCTTCAGAGGATCCCGTGAGCCTGGGGCTGGACGACCCTCGACTGGCGTGGGCCTGACACAGCACTGTCCGCCGTGGCTGGGCAGAAGACGGGGTGCAGGGCAGGGACACCCAGAGAAGGTGGTGATGGTGACAAGGTTTGTTCCTACAAAACGCCCCACAGAGTTAAAGGTCAACAAAACCCTTCACGTTTCAGCCACAGCAAATGTGCTGCAGGAGCCACGGACGGGCCCCAGGGAGCCGCCTGCCAGCTCAGGGAGCCGAGACCCGGTCTCTGACACCGGGGACCAGGCAGTGGCCACAGCGCAGGAGCGAGGATGGAGCCCCAGGCCACTCCACCGCCCGAAGGCAGGGAGAGTTGGAGCGCTGGGTCCGTGAGATTCGCCCAGAGCCCAACACTAGGCCCACCTGGCGCCCTGCCTGGCACCCAGTAGGACAGCAGCCCATGTGGCTGAACAGCACCCAGGCCGAGCCCCTCCCCACGCAGAGCGCAGATGAGGCTCTTGTGAGGGAGGTTCGGGACCAGCCCGTGGAGTGAGTGGGAGGAGGCACACCTGGCCCAGATCTCGTGGGAAGGACACTGAATCGGTCAGTTTGCCCAGCCTGCCTTCCGTCCTGTGGTCTGTCACGGCAGCCTCGCCCCACAGGACATCTCCACTCTTGTCACGAGAGAGCAGTGGCCACGCAGGGACCCACTGGGAGGCCCAGTGTCTGGAGGGCCGAGCCCTGCTCCAGGTTCTGGCTTTTGGGGGTGGTGAGCTCACCGGCGCCGGCGTGTGGAATTCCACAACTAAGTATAGATCGGGCCGCGTCTCGGGATACAGATAAACCCTTATTTTGGGGTTGGCCAATTGGTGTCACATCTGATGTCGCATGACCTTTTTGGCCTGCGTGTCTTCAGGACAGCGGTATATTGGGAAGGTCTGGAACTTGGCCAGTGTCCCTGTGCCCAACAGCGGCCTGAGAGGAGGAGAAGTGGACTTTGAGATCTCGGGACCTGCAGGCCGGTGCCTCCGGGGACCCCATGGGAAAGAGCGCGTGGCCCCCGGAAGTCACTTGAGGACACCACAGAGCCTAACACGCCTTTTCATTTATTTTGATCGGTGGCATTTAGTTTTAATTATTTAAGAGAAAACGTCATGAGACATTTTCAGAGAAATGAGATCTTTATAAACTGAGCGCTCATGACAGCCCTCAGCGATTCGGTCCTATAAGCCCTGTGGGGAGCTGGGTGAGGCGGCGGCGGGTTTGGGGGACCAAGAACTTGGGGCATGAGTGAGTGAAAATGAGGCCTCATTTTCCCATCTGGGGCCTCAAGCTCCAGGGCTAGGGCTGCCCCCTGGGTGAGACTGTGGGAGAAAGCAATTCTGATAGAGACGATTGATGATGGGGAAACTGAGGCAGAGGTGGAACCAACGGCCAGAACCAACGCGGCCACTGAGGAAACTTGGGGACTGTCTGCCAAGCTACCTGAACCCCACTCTTGCTATAGTTGACCCCACTGGGAAATCGGGGCTTTCGGCCCCTCAGGGGAGAGGGTGTTTGAGTTACTTTGTTTACCCCAAAGTAAGCGACGCCGGTCCGGGCTGTACATGCCCCGAGGCCTTATTTCCGCTCCCCTGATCGGCTCCTTCCTCCTCCGAGGTGCTCAGGCTCATGGCAATTGAGGGGGAGCTCAGGGTCCAAGGACGCAGGTCTCCGGCCACAACCCTGCTTCCTGCTGGGAAGGAGCACCTGGCGGGGGGGCCTGGGGCCCTCCTCTGCGGGTTCCCTGTACTCGCCCACATGGCCCCGATCCCTGAGCCCCACCACCTGCACCCCCACATCGTTCCTGGGTCTCCCCACTGCACAGGTCCAAGCTCAGCACAGTCCTTTCTCCCCAGACCCCCTCTCCTGGCACCTCCCACCCTGGCCCCTGAGCCAGAGCCTCGAGGCCCCAGCATGCACTGCGCCTTCTCCCTCCTGCATGTCCAGCTGGTCATTAAATCCACGGGTGAGAGCCCAAGCCCACCGGTGCGCTGGAGCCCTGGCCCCTGCTCAGCCCCTCGCGTCGCTGTCCTACGGTGGCTCACCGACCGCCGGCTGCCTCGGTCCTCACTCTGCCTGGAGTTCCCTCCTGCACAGGAGCCAAGCATCCGCCCACCCTCCCTCAGCGGCCTCTGCCTGGAGCCCACGGAGAGGATTCAGATCTGCTCCTGACCCCATCACAGCTAGCGATGACCGCGGAGGGTCCCTGTTGCCCTTCGGTGTCCTGAGCGCATGACCCCTGGTGTCCTTCTGCCCCAGCCCATCTCGGGTTCGCTGCCTAAAGACCCCTCCTGTCCTGCCCCAGAAGTGGCGCTGTGGGAACGGAACGAATGAATTCCCCGGAAGAGGGAGTAGTGGCCCTTGGTTTCTCCGGCCACCGTGGCCGCTGGATCATGGCCCATCTGGGATAGGAGGGATGTGGAAATCCCGTGGACCTGTCCGCTGACCGCGGAGAAACCGAGGCAGAGGTGGAACCGGCCCCTAGCCTCCTGCCGTCCTGGACAGGCCAGTCTGCCAGACTGTAGGCGCATCCGGGCCTTCTCCCTGCAGCTCCTCCCCGGGGGACCAGCGAGGCTGTGGCCTGGCTCAGACCCCTGGGGAGAACCTCTGAGCAGCGGGTCGGTGGGTCCTGACATCTTCTCTTCTTGGCATCAAGGATGAGGTTCACAAAGGGGAATCCAAGTGAATGGCGGAGTGCCCACCAGCCAGTGCCGCCTTCCCTGCAGTGGCTGGTCCTGGGCAGGCGCACCTGGGGAGGAGGTGTCGGGGCGCAGTGCGGGGACGGGGGGCACTCGCTCTGTGCAGGCCTCCTGGGGAGGACGAGAGTGTGGGGGCGCAGTGCCCGGGATGGACACACGCTCTGCGCAGGCCTCCTGGGGAGGACGAGGGTGTGGGGGCGCAGTGTCCTGGGGGGACACACGCTCTGCGCAGGCCTCCTGGGGAGGAGGTGTCGGGGCGCAAATTTACAAAAGAAATATAAACAATTCAATCAAAAAATGGCCAAAAGACCTAAATAGAAACTTCCGATGGAGGACCTACAGAAAACCAAGAGACATAAGAAAACATGCTCAAAGTCACTAATCATCCAAGAGATGCAAATCAAAATAACAATGAGGTGCCATCTCACACTTGTCAGAATGGCTATCATCAACAAAGCAACAAATGACAAGTGCAGGCAAGGACTCAGAAAAAAAGGAACCTGTGCACTGCTTCTG